CTTGTATTCGTTTCCATAAGCGCTTGTTCCATTTGACAATTGCCTTCTTTCAGCTAGTCATACATCTAGCTCCTTGCAGTTGAGGAATCACTGAGCATATGATTTACTGGGTTCATGTTCACATACTTTTTGATTAATTTTCCACTAGTTTCTGAAACGCTCATCAGTCGATAAACTAGACTATCTCGTTGAAGACATTCTGCAGCCGAAATAAAAAAACGCCACTTTGGAAGGAGCATACAAAATTTATTTTGGTAGTCTTTGCTCTCCAATTCGCAAATCTCGAAGAAGCCTATTCCTTCTTAGCTTCTTAGCTATAACGTGTACATTCGTTCCAAGTCGCACAACAGCTTTGAGTGCATGATCGACGTGCTGTACAGCAGTTGATCCCAGCCGGACAAGCATAGTGTGAAATTCATTGTCAATTTTAACAAGCCACAGACGTACCTCCGTAAAATAGGTTGATGTGCGTGTTATCGGTGCAAGGTAGCGGTTGCAAACAAATTCATCATGTTTGCGCGCATCTGCAACGGTATTCCATACCTTTCCCGTTGCAATAATTATTTCACTGTCGCTTGCTGCTGCCTGTGTATCACCGTTAGCGCTACCAAGTTCCGATTCAGTCTCAGTATGCTTATCGCCCCACGTTTTCAACAATTCGATCATGGAAATGCATTTGACGATTCTACACTTGATATCAAACAATCATCTGTACTAAAAATACTGCCGCCTGTCAAATGCTTTCGGGGGCGGACCGCCCACCCCCGCCTCTACGCTACACTTCTGATCTAGTCCATAATTCTACTAAGCGATTTCTCTGTCGCTTCAGCGGTGAAGATTAAATTTTGTGCAGTTTGGTAGTATTCAAAGTTGCAATCCCTTTCCTTGACGTCCTAGACCCGTTAAGTCTACGTCACGAACCATTTTTTAGTTGTTCCATTGTCATTGCCCTTCTATATCTGCGGCGAAATGAGGCAAAGATGCCCACGTCATCTTTGCTCCTTAATTTTACCATCGATAAGATCATGGAAACTGCGTTCGTCGAACGCGAGCTCTAGGATGTAGATTTGAATCCAAGTGACAGATTTGGAGAATGTCAGCCATATCGTCATAATCTGCGACAACTTCAAAGCCTGGCGTTTGGTGTTAGAGCGATTTATTGCATTAGCAGCCCTTTCGGGCTGTTTCATTAACCCTAAAATGGTAAGATTCCCTTCAAGATTGGCAGGAATCGCGACAGCGTTGATCCTTGGTGGGGATCAGACAGAAGTCCTTCAGAAATTCATTTACTGTGGCAGATATATCGACACATTTGTAGTAGAAACAGGTGCCGTAAAGCACATGGCAAAGCTCCTGTCTTTATGTTAACATTTGCCAGTTATACCGTAGACTCGATGTTACTCTTGTACTGAAGGGTAGAATTCACAATGCTGCTGTCTCTTCAGCCCTTCTGTACGATTGCGAACTCTGGCCCATCAATCGCAGCTGCCTATGCAGCTTAGCTCATGTCTGTTGTGAATACTGCATGAGCAGTGCGCATGTTCAGTGTTTGGTGTTCGGTGCAGGAAGAGCACATGAACCGTTCAGTATCGATATATCATACATCAGGCCCCGATGGCTGCGCCACTTGTTGCGTATGCCAACACACAGAATTCCGCGACTTGTGTTGTTTGCTCGTCGGGGTCTGGACGGAAGAACAGGAACGAACTTGTTTGTGGTTGGAGTTTCTCGTCTATTTGTTTGGAGTCCCACAGACCATGAGCATGTTCAGTTGGAGACATTTGTTTATAGGACCCGGAACGGCCTTCAGTGGCTTTTATGTTATGAGTCACTTTGTGCTTTTCATCCGAGTTCGCCTCATCTTCAAGCACAACCTCAGCACTGACCTAATACAAAAATCTAGTACAAGACTATTTGTATTGTTTCGTGCTGTTTTTCTTTTTCCTATAACCAACTGAATGCATCCCATTACAGCACAGCCGGTGAGGTGTTTCCCTCCTCTGGTAACGTCAGATGGCCAAGATTGAAAGTATAGTGTTAGGAAACATGGAACCCGGTTAATTGTGGGGTTAGTCTGCCAGAAATGGGCCGAATAAATTAGCAAAAACATGAACTAGTCCCCTGCTAATCTGTATTGCATTGAATGTAGGTTTCAATGATTTCCGTATCGGTAGTCTGTCGCGGTGAGAGACATTCCCAGTGGACATTTATTGCGCGACCGAAACCGTACTTGTTCCTTTAAATTAACCATTTTTTGCATGTTTTATTCATCCTTAGAAGTTCTTGGGAATAATACGCAATGAACTAAGGTAATGAACTAAGGTCAACAGCGTTAACATTTCTTCAATAATGCCCATTAATTATGTACACACTTATCGATTGAATTTGCCCCATGCTGTGCTACAGAATACACGCGTTTTATCCCATTTGTTAATTTTGACATCCGTTTCTTAGAGCATTACCGCCGTACATCCTCGAAATCTTGTCAGAATTGGCGCGCTTATAACTCATTCGTTTAGATTACTGTGCGTTCGCATCGCGGCCCGTTTTCAATCCGAATTTCTCACCTGTACCTCAAAGCTACTCATCCCAATACCGATACATGCCGTTACCTGCTGAAACTCAGCCATAACACCAATTTCAAAGGTAACTGCTTGAAACTGAGTGAACAATACAGCCGTCTGGAATGCCGACAGAATTATTTTGCTCTTCGGGCTTGCCAACCTTAAAATTATCTCCTAAACTCAGTTATTTCTTCCCCCACCTTGGATATTTTCATAAGCGATTGAATGACACCTTTGGCCTCCATTACTTCGCTACCTAAGTTGTGCGACTTTGTAATATATTAATCGTGCTCTCCTACCATATGTTTGTTTCACATGGGTTTAAGGAGGCGGTACATGAGTGAGCTTTCTGAAATCATATTTTTCTCACCGAATAGCTAAGTTATATCTGGCCCCCAGATTGTCTTGTATGCTTGCATCCAATTCTAATTTTACACCATCGCTTTCCGGCAGCGCATTTGCTCGATAGACTCACGTAACTATGATATTGGAGTTTTCACCTAACCATCCTACGGGGCTTGTCAAGCACCGACTTTTTTACCCATTATAAATCATTGTTTATTGTTCCTTACAATCACTCTCTGTCCTTGAGTGCGTTACTGGACAATAGTTTTTGCTGTAAAGACTTCTTGTCGAATGCCTTTTTTCGCCCACCAATCCTGCCATGCCATTGCTGTATCATGATGACACAATGCATTATCTGTGAAAACGTCACCAGGTGGTAATTGTCTTCTTTCTTGCAGAGACAATGACGCCGGGTCAGCGATTGTGCGATCCACTCAGTGATAGTTATCTGCGCAATTTTGTCGCCCCGTCAAATATCTTCGTCTATCCCTACTGTGTGGCACTTACCTCACCCTAGTAATTATTTTTAGAAAGAGACAAAGCACGTTATAAATACCGAGGTAAACAGAGAGTGGATATCTTTTACCACGGTTACGAAAGCGATTCTGTTTGAACTGTCTGTCTTTTTCTTCCGGGTTTGCGGGTAGACGTTTGTGGTCCGTGTTCGTCTCGATGTATTTAGGTAGCTACTTTTTGGGCGATTAAGGCTCCCGGGGCTTTACACCAAGAATGCGATCAGCTGACCTTCTGTGAGGAGCATTGCAGCTCCGATTAGAACGCGGTACCAAGAAAAAATGCCACAGCACTTTCGAATGAATTTGAATAGCTTGCTATCTTAGAGCACAGATGTACCATGGCGGAAATTTGGCTTATGTACGGCTATATTTGGTTGTTTCTTTGACGTAGCATTGAACAGAAGAAGTGATAATATCTTATTGCATTCATTCTTATAGTTGCATTAGCAATGGTTATGCATGAATACTGGTTCCGTGATGCCACATAGAACAAATATACTGTTAATTGACCGTTTTCCCGTAAAAGTTGTCCAAATCACCATCCCGTCGTTAGCCCTCACCCTTATTTTACCCTGAAGTGTGAAACAGGTTATGGGATGTGTTGTCGCCTATACTACATCTGTCTGACTGAATTAACAGGTAGACTACTTTCACTTGTCAAACTTGTTCTTTTGCAACCTGATTGCAGCTCTTAAATGACCTGTTCTCACTTTGCTCCTAGGCTTTTCAGGGATTCTGTTCTTCTTATACCCATTGGTATGCAGTTATGATGCTTCTGTGCAACCGTAGTGCTTCAAAAAATCTCCAGTGGAGTTGTTGATGGCGAGAACTCAGTTGGTACTTCAAAACTGTTTAGTGTACGGTTCAACTGCCAACGTCGTCATGCTAAGCTAAGCAGGCATAGTTATCTGTCATCAACTGGCTAAGTTAACCAACCAACCTGTTGGCAATGGGTCGGTATGTGACAACCAAAAACTATGCCTACCTTGTGCTGACCGGCTAGGTTTCCCAATAACAACAGTGAACAGCGACAATGCACGTCCCCCCAAATGGTTGATCTGTTCCACTAAATTTTAATGCCCTGATTGTTGATCAGCACATCCACGCAGTGCAGCTGAAAACCTGATCCGTCTCGCTGTCTTCCGGAACCGTGGGTCAGTCTTTCAGGTGGGATGCCATAATGATCGCGATCACCAACGCGATCATTGCACTGCATAATGCACTCCAGAAATGCATTAATCAGTTCGACAGTAATGCGTAACATTCAACACCACTATGATAAGTCAAGGCTGTCAGCCTATCTGCAATTTCTTAAGATGCAACTGCAAAGTTCTTTACTGTTTTGATCAAACCCACACTACGATTGGAAATTAATACGCATCCATCTGATTATCGATGACCAAGTCCGTCAATCCACTGAGAATCCCGAGTTAGTCAAGAAGCGAGCAATGATAGATTGGGCGATAGTAAAGATATCATAACAATTCCATTACGAACAGTAGCTCAACTTACACGGCCGATCGGTACATGTAGAAGCGTTATGCCATACAACCGAACCGTATACTGAAGGACTTACTTTGACTTCCCTGCCGCCTTCTATCTTCATCCGTACCGGTAACTGGTGTGTTCCCTCAGAACGACTGCGATAGGTAATCAGAACTGTAGCACATTCATATGGCCTCAGCGTTGCTGCTCGTGGTGTCACGTCAAACGTGTGTTCGTCTTCTAGTCTCCTCTGTAACAACATATACACCTAGAATGACTACATGGCTTATTGCATGAGTTGAACAATGAGCAATGAACAATGATTTTATATGGGTTGAAAAGCACAGTTTTACAAGCCCCTTTGGATGGTCCGGTGGGTCATCAAAAATGTTAATAAACAAAATGCGATTAGTAATGTTACTGTCAAAAGAATGGACTTGTCGTATGTAATGCGGTAGCCCTGCACTCCAGGTGTTTCATGGCTTCAATAGGCAAAATAAGTAAATCCAAGGTATTTTCCGGGAGTAAGCTGGAGAGTAGCGTCAAATAACAAAATGTAGGTGGCGGAGTTGTTCATCTAAAAGAATTTAAATATGGCTAACGTGGGTGCTGAAACAACAGATCCGGGGAAAGCATTCTATGGTTGACGCACACGAACGGAAAAGAAGTTTCTACGGCACGCCAGACGGCTGTACTGTTCTGCCAATTTAAAGGAGTGGCCTCTAAGTTTGGTGTTCCTGCTGAGTTGCAGTAAAGAGCGGCACACATGATTTGGATTGTGTACAATCAAATATGCCATAAGCAAGTCGCCTCGTAGTCGGCGATACCGCCAGCTGATTACTCCCGAACGATTCAAGCTCTGCTCACATGGTAGATTGCGAATTCCAATGAAGTACTTGGAAGTCTGACGATGAGTTTGGTCCAGTGCAGTGATGTCATGTTTCATCCACGGCTGCCAGGCTTGCATTGCGTATTCGACATGGACGAACATAGCCAGTGGGCATCTGTGAAAATAGTGGTGCCTAGTTGTCCGAACGCCGGTTGTAACTAGCCGACGTAGTGGTTATCAAATTCCGATGCCGCTTCGGATTGCTTGGAACAGTCCAAGTGTTCGTGAACTAGGAGGCCAAGGTCGCGTTCGAAGGATGGTCGCTGCAGTACTTGCGTCCTTAGCTTGTTGGAATAGGTACTCTGGTGTCGTATGAGGAGTATCATGCATTTGCCCACGTTGAACTGCAACAGATTTTGTGTTGACCACTAATGTACTATAGTTAGGTCACACAGAAGTAAATTCCGATCGGCATCCACCTGAATCCTGCGCCATATCTCTAGCTCGTCAACAAACAGTAGGAAATTTGAAGCGATTGTCCACGCAAAGTCATTGTTGGAACAACAAATTCACCGATGTCCCAAAGACGCGCTTGTGTTAGTCGTGTAAATGAGTGTACTTATGAGGAATTTAACTTGCACCATCTAAATTCCCCAAGGAGCTCCTTCCAATATAGTCTTGTTTGATTGAGGAGACTTCCAATGGATTCCTTGTAAGGCCAAAGATTGGCAAATCAGCCGAGCCGTTTTAGCAGACCATCAACCCCGTTAGCTTCGCGCCCCATTGACTATCTGAATTGTGTATTCAGATACACCTGCTCACTCCAATCTCATACCTTCTGCACATCTTGCATCTTCAATTCGTTCGCTTCCACCGATGTAGCTGAGTTTGAAAATACTGGTCGTATTGCTTTGATACTTGTCGCTTGTTGAAGATCGCGGCTGGATATTAGACGAACCCTTAATCGCTGTTTAGTTGAAAAATAAGCAACAAATTTGGAATGCTTGTGCACACTAGCTGGAAAATTTGGAAGATCTGACACCGGATTCGTTGTAAATCTCGGATTAAATAAAATTGTGTAATATCCAAACTGGTTAGTGGCAATCCCGGATAAGATATTTGTGGATAGTCCGAAAAGTTTGTCTGTAGTCAGACCCCACTTGGGAGCGCTGATAATGCCACAACAAAGAATTTGCCCGTTGCAGAGACCGAAAGCTCAGGTGGGAGTAACAATTTCTCCAGAAAATTGTGTGGCTGTGTGGAGACATCGCCTCCACAGAGTCTGGTTTAGGTTAAAACGCCGATGGACCTACGTATTGTGACTAGTTAGCTCGTTAATTAGAATTCTGATGCTATGTCTGCCGTCCAGTTAAAACGATCTGCGTTCGTGCAGACGGGTTCTCTTCGCAACGCCTCAAACGACTGCGCACACCTAAAGAAAAGGCGTTCGAACGCAAATACGTTGCTGCAGTAAACACTCCGTTGATGATCAAAAAATTCTAATTGCGTCGACTCAGTCAGATCTCATTTAAAAACATTTATAGAAACAGTACTTATCTAGAGGTACAGAAAATGCTAAAAGCTTTAGGCGGAATCACTCGCGAAGTCACACTCACTACTCCGGATGTAGAAAAATTAAGCCTCAATTTCTGCGACCAAGGCGATAATTTCGTCTCTGATATAACATAAGTGAGTTACAACTACCACATACAACACACTTACGAACTGCTTAGAAACACACAGGGAACTACTTATAAGGAAGTCGAACGAGTCACCCGGTCCGGATAAGCTGTCTGCTGTCGTGCTCAGATAATGTGCTGATTATCTGGTACAGCCTCTCACCAAAGTTTACACGTGCTTAAAGCAGCACAAAATAGGCAATAAATTGGGGATCGCTACCTGCGCGTCGATGCCAAAGTAATGAAGTTGCAAATATCAACCAATTAGTTACACTTTTAGCTTTGCCCCGAAAAAACTATCTTGTTGAGATATGCGGATTACGTAAGGCTAGGTTTTGATCCATAAGCCACAGATTCAATGCCAGATTAAAGCACTTTTGGACAATTACACAGCTCGTGTAAAGTCTTCTACATCAATAAAAACCTGATGACATTGAGCATTGGTCATACGCGGTCCTTTGAAGTAAAGGAAATATTCACTACAGTCAGGAGACTTTCGTTCCATGTTATTCATCTCAGTACTTCCTCCGAGTCGTCTGACCCTACCTTTTTATCACTGCATGTGTACAACCCAAATAGACTTACTGATCTCTAGTGATCACACTTTTGAATAGCTACCTTTGAATAGGAGCCTTTGAATAGGGACTTTTGAATAAGGACCTCAAAGTGCTGCCACGTCAGGGGAACATCTACCTCGACGTAGTGCCATTTCAAGACCGGAATTTCTTGACCTTATCGTATCTATGGTACATCAGCTGCCCCTTGGTTGTCACTTTTTGACTAATCGAAATGTATTCAAGTAAGAACTTGTTGGTAAATTATTTCCATGACATTACGCCCATTATCACATGTTGTAAAACAACTGTTTTATCCTTGTCCTTTTGTTGTGCTCTATTTCACTAGTTAGCCATGTCCGTAGCATATGTGTGTGTGAGTTGCCGTTGAATATCCATCCTTCGTGCGTGAATGAACCATATTCTTGGATTGATCTAGTTGTTTGGAAAAACCTCTTCCCACCGACTTATGTTACAACTCAATTCTAGCCTCCGAGTTAGCATTAAGCCAAGCTGAGCCAAGGAGGGTACTAGGATGGTCTAACACTTCCCGAAAGTATAAGTACACAGTATTCAGTGTAGGACTCAATAAAGATCAAGAGCTGTAAATTCGGCATAAATTCCACGCGAATTTTCCGAAAAATCAGAGTCCAGATGGGGTGATCCGACCTGTACACCTAGGCGACAATCGATCACAGCCCGCAATGCGGCCAATCGTGCCACGACAATAAACACACAAGGAAGTCACAGCTACAGGCCACGTATACGTATTTCTACAATAGCTTATCCATAACATACAAGCTACTCACCCATTCCAATTCACTTTCCGAATACCTGCCTTGTTGCGCCCAGTTGGGAATCTCGATCAGCAAATCTGTAGGGAACATAAACTTAAAATTCGCATCCACCGGTCCTGAGTTCTCTAACAGCATTTGGATTTGTGCCCCTTCTTGTTCCATGAATGTCTTCGGCAAGTCAGCGTCCTCGTGTGATGAGATTAAGGTCACTCCCAAGAAGCAGTCAAACACTGGTCTTCTGCCGTTAAGCAAATTTTGTTGACCCACACAAGCCGCTCGCGTATCCACTCGGCTGTGCAGTTCAGAGTCCGTAGGGTCGGAGGCCAAGTAGACATTAAGTCTGAACAATGGAAAACGTACCTTTATTGATGCATCTGTCAGAACGAATAAGCAGCGTCGAACTATCATGTTTTGGGCCTATCGCAACCCAAGTAGAGTTTTCAGGGGTCCCACTCAAAATTTAAGGATAAAGTTACATACGTCAACGACCTACTTACGCGTCTATTTGCAGGCGACTCCACAATTCCACGGAGCTAAAGTGGGAAGCGGTCCCGGTGCCAATTATGTCCACTACTTGAAGTGTTGGATAAACTCCTTTTAGAAGTATCGTAGCCAGCGGATGGGGTTCACCGAGTGGGTCCTTTGCAACAGCTGGGTAGAAAAATGTAGCGAACTATGTCAGACTTTATATTATTTAACAGTCCAAGTTGCTATTGGGCTGATTTATTTTCAAAGTTCATTTTAACAAGTCGCCAGCTCCCGCCCTAACAAACAGGATGTTTGTGATTAAGAATAAGCTGGCAATTCTTTAGGCATCAGTTAGAGACCTCGTTACGTCTAGTTTGCTTTCGTTTCACTGATTAAAGTGGTGACTTTATTTTCCAAAATTGCTTATCACCGTGACCGTATACATCAGTGAAATGCCCAATCAAGCTTTAAGAACACAGCAGACTTCCGTTGTCACTCGCAACCGCCATACATCACAAAAGTACGAGCCGAACTAATAAGTACGACGGATATGCAAGTTGTAGAAGTCACTGTTGTCTAGATTCGTCTCCCGATCCCATTAATGCCGTGGTGAGTCTTTGTAACATCATTGCTAGGTTCTGATGTGACCACTAACCGTTGTTTCATCAGGACAACATAAAAAATGTTTGTGAATAGTTGGTGGTTGTTGACTATTCCTGAGTAAAACGGAAGAGAGCATGCAGCAGGATATTGTACAGTCAAAAACATACTTCGACAAGAAGCGCTGTCTAAATTTCCTGTTGTCGTGAATGCCTCTCCCGTTGTCGTTAGCAGCAGCTATTTCAGAGAGGCAGCAAACTCGATAGTCGTCTCAGACTAATAAGTTTGTCGCATGTCGCTACTCGGATCGAGCTGTAAAACTTCATGCAAATCACAGAACAATTGTTTAGATATAGCTAAACGGTTGAAATTAGGCACTGCACGAACCAGAACACCGTAAGCATTTGCAAGTATAAACATTACCTTCTCGGTTCCTTCGGTTAGATTTATGCATTGAGGGTCTGCAAGCATTAAAATAAATTTCTGTTAATGGACAGAACTGCTGTTGCGAGCTCCGTATTTCATTCTTCCGGCAGATCAATACTGAATATTAAATACTGAGAAAGTGCAGCGAGTAGAGATGCCTCTGTGTAGCTGCATCTAATATTTTTAATGTAAATCTGCCTATGGTGATGTTGATTATTCTCCAAATCTCAAGTCGGCAATGTGCGACTTCAGGAGTTTCTTACACTCCGACACCGACTTTCCTTCGATTATGTCTGAAGGCAAGTTGTTCCAAATATCCACCACCCACCGCTCTAAGCAGTTGTTGAGCGACCCGCTTCAGATCCGGAACGACAAGCTTGTACCAGGTGTACCGGTGTAATTACTGGATTCACCACACTCTGAGGCAACTTTCTCTAACCTTACCCCGGATGGGTATAAGGTATGCTGTCACGAATAGGAATTCTAATTGCCACTACCTTCTGTTCTTTTAAATAATGTCCTTCACATGGATGCTCCTGGTCGATTGTGGCCTAGAGCTTTTTCACATTTTGTAACAGCTCGGTGCGCTAATGCATTCTATTCCAACACACTGCTTCCCTGGTAGCGTGCGGACAATGGCGTTTGAATCGAGTTGAAGACGCACTGGTAGTCCTTGAATCACTAGTGTCGCAACTACAAAACTTCACCCTTCGAGTTGACCATGTAATTTTTCGAGAGCTTCTGCTTTCATTACCGCATATTAATGTCTAAGGTGGTGATATTGGTCCATCGCGAGCACCGAACACTCTGGTTTCTCGTTGCGCACTTCCTACACCATCGTTCCCAATCAGAGCAAATCTCTTCTCCTTTAGGGTATATTCCTTTAATAATTGACTACACTCTTGCTCCAGTTCGCAGTTTTGGCATATTATCAGCGCCCCACCTGTACTTGTCGCGTAAGGCAGGCCAACCAATGCACGCCGCCGATTCGTGTGACTGTATGCATTCAACGGCGAGATGTTTGATCACTGAACCTGGCTGTCTGCGCCCGACCGCGAGTGAAAGAGACGATATCTATCTGTCTCAGCTGACTGACCTGGGCGCAGTTTGAACCACTCTCAACTCGCGTGCCCGTGTGTTGGCGTGGTTTTATGTCACGTGCACGCCTGGCTCAGATAACCTTCATCAAACATGAGCGTTGCTCGGCTAGACCTTGCTGCAAGCGACAACAGTGCAGCCAGCATTCAAAACATGGTGCAACGCCGCGCAGGTTTTCAAGGAATTACAGTAAATTCCTTAAGATCGGCGTGACCTATTATAGCTGCATTAGATCGTACCACCGGCGATGCATAAGAAAATCCGTCCAAGTAGTGATACGAGTAAACGAACTCCCTGACACATTTTGGTTTTGTCCGACATGTTAACTTATTCCAGCTGTCAACTGTGTATCTTTGCTCATTACGAAGTGCGATAAAATGACTGAGCTAATCACGCATTTTGTAACTACTAAAATCGCTCTCTCGGAGATAAATATGGCCACGTTAATGGCTCAACCAACCAAGACAAGCTCTGCCTCTAAGCCGAAAAAGAGAGCTAGACACTCCGAGCCACTGCAGCGTCTGTGTCTTTAAATCCCCTGGGTCACCTCGCTCCCATAAGCGGACAAGCTTCAAACATGCCTCCTTCCACCTCCAACTATGGGCGCTTCACTTTGAGCTTCGGCCATGAAACCGAAAGTTCAGAGCCAGATGCAGTTCAGGTGCAGGTAACAAGAAGGTAACGTACGCATCGCTTGCCCCGATAAACACATAGGGAGCGAGACACGTTGGTCCATCTTCTGTACTAAGCACAAGTGGGGCGACGCAGCTTTCACCGACCCACCTGACTTGATCGAAGGCTGACATTGGAAGCAGGTAACAATTAATAATCATTTGGATCTGGCATTAATTTGTGAGACTCCACAAAGCAGGACTGAATAGCCGCACTGAAGAAGTTCCCTAGTTTGATAACGAAACGTGTGCATCAGAAATGCCCGGCTCGGAGAACAGGACAATCCTCTCTTTCACCGTCAAATACAGTGGTGCCTCCTAAATTACCAGCAACAATTTTAGAACCAAAATTCGCTAAACAATACCCGGCTGCGTTAACTCACGTGCGCACTAACGTACCCGACTCCATATCTAGCAAAAATAAAATGCAAGTTCTTAGACAATCGCAACCATTGGAGTTTTATCTGCGATGCGATTGCTATTCGGGTTAAGCGTAGCGCGTCATCCGACCTCAGTGCACTCTGGTTAACTACGATTTCTTCGAATAACTCTGAACTCAGCAGATGAGACAGAGGCTGTCCTGCCCGCATTAGTTCGTCTTCGCAACTCATCGAGCGCGGTGCACATATTACCCGATCTTCCTTGGAAACATCACCCAAAAGAAGCAGGTGACCATTGCGGCATACCTAACAGCGATAGCAGGAAAAGCAAATTTGTTCATGGTGTTCCCGAGCTTCTGGATTCTTCTGATCACGATGCGCAAACACATGACCGAGAGTAGAGGTGCTGCATCTGCGAAGCACTCTCTCTGGACAATGTTATTGCCAGATTGTTGATAAGCCTTCCGTCCTCACCAACCTACAAGCCCTGTGGCTCAAGATTAATGAAAGTAGTCTTACACTCTGAGGGAGTGACGTAAGTTCTATTGGATAACTTGTCAAAGTTTGGGGACCGTTTGCCAACCGAAATCCGGCTAGATGTAGCAGCAGCACGGCCACGAGTGGCTAGCAATTCTATAGAACTTACAACAACAGTAAATTCTTTGTCTGCGCAGTCCTGCAAAGCGATCGACACTACAGTGCCAACGGCAAACAACAGCACGGCAGAACAAAGGTGAAACATATGTTCTGGAACGCTCAACGATGCCATGCAACTTGGCTGAAATTCATGAACCAAAAATAAGTAAAGGTCGGTCATCTAATGGTCGGTTTAAAAACTGACACAAATTTGACATCTATCAACGTACCCCTAACAAAAGAAAACACTATCCTGTTTGTACACAAACGCCCAAGGCCTTCTTAGGAAATTGGGCAAACTTAGAGAACTCCCTGCTTCACAACCGTTGAACTTTGTCATGATTACAGAGATTTGGTTAAACGTTGAGATCAATTTACCCGGTGTGTCGCTGAATCGGATTGATAGAACTGGTAGAGGTGGTGGTGTGCTTCTTTAGTACAAGAGAAATTTTCGAAGTAAACTTATCGATCACTCGGAAACCAGCGCCCCTGATTCGCTTTGGTACCGCCTACGGTTGCGGAACGAAGACACATGTCTACGAGCCGTAATTTATGCCCGCCAATCTCTACGTCGGAATTGCAGTCCAAACCAAACCAACATTTTCAGGCTGCTTTGAACAAGTCCTATTACTTCATTCCTATCGCTGAAACTAATGTATACGACATGGACACACTAGCAACCGCTGGCGCGCACTTTAATTCCCGCTTGCAAGAGCTAATTTCTAGCCGATGTGCTGGTTTAAATCAGCTGCAATTTAAGAGACAAATCAATCTGACTAATTCACTTTGGTTTTGCCAAACATGCAGAGCAATCCCAATAGTCAAAGGTCTAATATCGCTAGTGAAAATTTGTGAAAACTGACTAAAACAGTCCAGCAGATGGCGAGCTTCAGAGCATTGCCATTAGAAGCTAACAAAACCGATCTTGTTGAAATCCCTCAGAGCTCCGGCATCGTAACACGAATCCTAAAGTCAGGCTTACTAACCGCCCAACGGCATCTGGCCACCTACTCCGACAATTACTAACCACTTAAGTAGGCAAGCCACATCCAACGTGACTGCTATTAACTCATCCCTAGATGCCATACCTCACGAGTTGATCACAACACTGGAAACCCAGAACCGGGTAACATACGATTCGATGGCCTCGATAGAAACACCCAGATACACCCATAAGTGCTTTATCTGGACCAAGCACGAGCGATGCGACGCCGTTTTTACAACGTTCTGTAGTGCCAGCCAGACAATCCGTTACCAGCCACAACACCCAAAACGACCCTCTCTAAATAAAACCATAGTGCGTTAACGGTCGTGTGCACTAAGTTTCCCGAGTCCAGATCTCGCACAATAAAGCGTAAGTTGGTAGCTAATC